AGTTATCACATACAAAAGCAGGTAACTTAAGAGGTTTTGTGGTCAGAGAGAGGATGTTACAAGTTCAAGCTTTTCAAGGTAGTTTTATGTAATGACTTAGTCCAGGATGTGGCTGTGTTAGTGAGTGACTTAGGAGGAAATCCGAAAATCAACTGAAAATGGAAGATGTTAAAGACCTAAAAGGATTGGATAACCAGGATCATGACAATGGATGTGACAAAAGGTAATGACAGAGAATGTAATTAAAAAAAAAAAAGTTATATGTCAGGCAGTGCAATAATCTGAGGAAAACTGAAAAATATTTTGGAGGCTGGAATAGCCAGCTATGAGGAGGGAATAATCTTACTAAAAGAAAAACTTAGTGGCACCACTATATCTTTTAAAATGACATATATATTTGAGTTTTATCATCAAAAAAAACTGATTATACTGAAATGGATGCCATCTAGGAAAACAACAATTATGTAAATTAACCTGGCATGGGCTAAACATCTGCCATCTTGAGTATTAAGAAATGGATGACAAACTCAAGAGAAACTATGCTTGTCCTCTAGAAGCTTACTTGTTTTAGATTTCAAAACAAAAAATTTTATACAATAAAGCAGAATCTAAATATATATATATATATGAAAGAATGAAATGCTGACTTAATACAATTTCATGTCATCTAGATACTTAAAATGGTTGAAAAGTTCACTTTTATTAGAGTTTGCTTTTTCTCTAAACTGTAGCACATATTGAAAATATTAAACTTTTAACTATTATGTTTGAAATGCTCACTCAAAACCTCCAGTACTAATAAACTGGCTGGTGTTCAATTTTAGCAAAATAAAGAATGAGCTTTTGCCTTAGTACAGTAGCAGCCCTTACCTGAAGCGGGTACTTTCAAAGCCCACAGTGGATGCCTGAAACTGCAAATAATACTGAACTCTACACACACAATACGTGAATTCCTTTTTCTTTCCTCACAATTTCATGGACAGAAGATTCGTTTTTACTGCAGATTTTAACAACCTCAGCATTTGATTTTTTTTTTCTTTCCTTATTAAGTGGAGAGCTTGCACCTTTTCATTTAAAGGAAGCACTTTACAGCTTTTCTTTAGCAGATCTGAATTGCCAGCATCACTAGGCTTGTGCTTTGGAGACATTATGAAGTAAAATAAGGATGATTTAAATACAAGCACTGAAATACCACGACAGTGGATCTGATAACCGAGATGGCTACTAAGTGACTAACTGGCGGGTAGCAACCACATCATGGATGCGCTGGACAAAGGGATGATTCGTGCCCCAGGCGGATGGATGGGACAGGATGGTGTGAGATTTCATCACACTACTCAGAACAGTGCTCGACTTAAAACTTATGAATTGTTTATTTCTGGAATTTTCCATTTAATATTTTCGGACCATTGTTGAATAAGGGTAACCAAAACCATGGAAAGTGAAACCACATGTAAGGGGGGGACTACTGTATGGTAGTCCTTTCCTTTAACCAACCTCAAGTATCCAAATATGTGATCCAATTCAGTAAGAACGTGCACTTTACAAGGGCTCTCATTGATGCCAGCATGGAAAATGTGCTGTCTTTTAAAGAGACTGTAAATTAACTAAATTTGACAAAAGGAATCCATCAAAATTTAGTTCCACACCAGTTGTCATTTGACTTGCATTTGGAGAGTGAATGTTTTGGATCTTGTTCTTAACTAACTTTAGATTACCATCTCTCTACTTCTCTTTTGATGGAAAAAAATTGCTTCTAGAAAAAAACAATAAACTCTTACCTAGTCTAAGGGAACACTACTTATAACACAATAAAAAACAAGAGTAGACATTTAAAAATTGTATACCTGTCAGGTTGACCTTACAATTTAGATATCATCAAATAATACTTACCAATACACACATCGATTTTCCCTTTAATAGCAGCTTCATGCAGAGGGGTATAGTTCCAGTTGTCCCTGGCATTTGGATCAGCTCCTTGGCACAGTAACAGACTCACAACCTCCGCATGGCCAAAGGAACAGGCATTATGAAGCGGGATGAGACCTCCATCATCACGAGCATGGACGTTAGCACCCATCTGCAGTAAGTGTTCTACAACATCCTTCCTTCCGAAACCTAAAAAGAAAGGGGAAAATGTCTTTCTTATACATTAAGTCAATTTTGTAAAAAGAACCATCAGAATACCTTTAACAAAATCAACAAACATGAATAACTAAAGTGTTTTACTCTATAGTGAAAAGAGTAAAACAGAACAAAAGAAACATTAGTTCCATTCAAACTGACTCATTTCACAGAATTTAGAACTAAAACAGCTCTAAATTTAGTCTTTGGGCAGTTCATTCAAAAAACATTTCTTAAACACTTTGTGCTGGAAACACAAAGTAAACAAGACAAGACTCCTGTCCAAGGTACTCACTTTCCCTCCATGTTTCACAAGACAAAATTATATGTATAAAACTCATCTCTATATTTTAAGAGATAAAGGTTATCTAAGAGAACTCAGTGTAAGACAAATCACAACACTCAACATTACATTAGGGAAATTGGAGAGGAATGTGTAGATACCAGAAATACATAGTGACTATTTGGTTACGGGGTGGGGATTTTGAACAGAAAGTACTAAAGATGATGCCAAAATATCTATTCTTAGGGACTGGTGGCCAAACTACATGCAGTGGTTAAGTGAAACAATTCAAGCTTAGATTTACTGAATTTGAGGAAACAATATGGAAAACACGTGGGAATAAAGGCATTTGGGAATACAGAAGCAGAACTTTGGTAAGAGAATCACAGTTTTCAAACAGAAAAGGGGGGCAGGAATAGCCGGAAAGGGTCTGAAGCAGTGTAAGGACCAGGCGAACACTTAGAAAGGTAAGAAATACCAAGAAAGTACACCATTATGCAAAGCCCGGCATGATGAGGATTTAGTGAGATCAATGGAGAGGAAAAAAAATGGCCATTAATAATTTTAAAGTAATTTTTGTACAGTAATAAAACTGCAAGCTACATTGCGATGGGTTGAAAAAGGAAACTGCAAATATTAGTACTTTTATCTCTATAAGCTAGGACCTTTATAAATAGTGATTCTTTCCCACTTTAAATTTTGTTAGGTCTTATTGGCTAGGTATCACTACCTCCATGCTATTACTACGTAATATTGTTAGAAAATGGCATTTTAAATAAAACTAAAAGGGAGTAAAAGAGTCACATGTTCTCCATTTTATATATACACAAGTAAGAACCATGTGGAAAGTAGCAAGGAAAAAAAAAGAATTTCAAGATATGTCTTCCATACAGAAATTCTTCCATACAGAGATTCCAGGAAAGCAGGAAATGATGTTTTTCCACAGATATGTATCATAAAGTCAAAATTAGGTTTCCATGGAAAATATCTTTCAAATTAAGCTGAAAATTTTGGGTGAAAAGAGGTCAATTTTGTATTAGTAACTGGAA